AGATGACTGATGTTAAGGAGAATAACCTCTGACTTACTTTCGCTGTCTAAAGAACAGTCACGCTAAAGCAGCTAAGTTTGGTACATATTTTGGGGAGACAACTTAAGAGAAATCCTTCTGTTCCCCACAGGTCAGACACACGTTAGCCCTCAAACGGACATCTTCATTGTTGAGCACTTTAAAGAGGTCTTGTGCAGCAGATTTGCCCAGTGCAGTCTGTCATTTGATTTCTATGGTCGTGATTGTGGATCCGAGTGGAATGAAATTCTTGAGAACTTTTCTGTTACTGATGTTGCTTGTTAGTCCAGTTGTGAGGATTTTTGGTTTCTTTATGTTGAAGGTGTAATCAGTACTGAAGGCTGTAGTATATCATGTATGGCACATGATTATGTATACATATGAGAGTGCTTGAAAATGTGAGTTACTGGAATATTTATAAGTATTGTCTCACATTTTCATTTGGTATGAGTTTTCAAGATCAGGCATGAAAGAACACCAACTCTCCTCACTCATCTTTTTCTCTCAACTCGGCTTTTTAAATGTCTTTCCTGCAGAGTCTGAACTCATACACTAATGGAGCATACGGCCCACCATACCCCGCTGGGCCTGGGGCAAATACCGCCTCATATTCTGGGGGTTATTATGCACCTGGATATAGTCAGAGCAGCTACTCCACAGAAGTTCCCAGCACATATCGTTCACCTGGCAGCAGCCCCAGCCCAGTCTCGCGCTGGTTATATCCCCAGCAGGACTGCCAAACTGAAGCATCCCCTCTTAGTGGGCCGGTACCAGGATATCCTCCTTCACAGGTAAGCAGTTTTCTTTTGGGGGAAAAAAAATATCAAAGAATCAAAGTCTCTGCCTCTTGAATGTAAACATTGTAAACATTGGAAGGATATCTATTTACAGTAGTGCTGATTTAAGAAAGCACTAAAGAGGGTATTCAAACAAAAAACTTGGTGTCACTAATCATTAGAGAGATGCAAATCAAAACCACAATCAGATACATCTTAATTTCCACTAGGACAGCTGAGAAATTGGAACCCTTATCCTTTGCTGGTTGAAATACAGAGTGATCCACCTACTATGGAAACAGTGTGGTATTTCCTTAAAAGCTTAAATGTAGAACTGCCATATGGCTTAACATTGCCACTCCTAATAGGTGCATATCCAAGAGATCTGAAAACAGCAGTGCAAATAGACATGTGCACCCCAGTGTTTCTTGCAACATTCTTTACAGGAGCCAAAAAGTGGAACAACCCAAGTGCCCATTAATGAATGGATAAACGAAATGTGGAATATAAAATGGAATATTATTCAGCCATAAAGTTAAGTGAACATGCCATCATATGGATGAACCTCAAAAACCTTTCTCTGAGTGAAATAAGTCAGTCACAGACAAATACTGTATCATCTCATTCATATGAAATAACAAGAATAGGCAAATATATAGAGATCATAGTTTATTAGTGGTTCCCAAAGGAAGAGGCATTCATTGTTTAGGAATAAATGAGTGTTTATTTGTGAGATAGGTTCCCAAACTTAATTGGCCTGCTGCACCCTTTTCAGAAAAACAACAACAAAACTTAGTATTTCTGTGGCAGTTAAAAACTTGTACTGTGATTGTACGATTCTCCTTGATATGACTGAACAATTGTAGTAATGAATTGTATGATATATAAATTATGTGCCAATAAAACTGTTTTAAAAAAACCCATACTTGAACTGTAGCCCATATTCCAGGATAAAGTATAGGTATCTGTTTTTGCAACCCACTGTTTCAGCACCCCCTGGGGGGGTATTGCCCACTTTGGGAAACAGTGGCTTGTGGTGATGGGAAATTTGGCAATGAATATGGATGGTGGTTACACAACATGATTAATGGAATTGGTGCCACAAAATTCTATATCTAAATTGGCAAATGTTAAATAAGGAGGCATCAAAGTTTATGGGAAAATGAAATTAAAAGATAATTTTTTCACAAAGTTTTTGAAGTCCCTTTGTATGTAGTTTTAAGAGAATAAAAAAGAAAATGACAACAACAAAAAGGAAAACACTGCAAACATTCAGTGGTTCTTCTAGAGGTGATAGGGAGGGCAAAGACTCATTTTATGTTGATGATTCTCTTACTTGTAGCATCTATTTGAGTAAATGGATTTCAGCTAAGAATACCTTGGGGTGTCATAATCATAAAGATTTTTATACTAGAATATATCTTTAGAGAGCTGTTGCTTGAAAGTTTATCTTAGCCTTTTAATGCTGTTAGACTTCTGTTTTAATATTCTATAAATAGTATCATGTTTGTTTCTCTGTTGAAGGGATGTTCTAGTATATCTTTGTTTGTGCTTCCTGATAGCTTATGAATTAACTAATTACAGTATCAGGTAGGACAGACTTGTCTTCAGCCATTGAATTCTAGGCCTTACATCTTCGGATTGTCACCAAATCTACTCCTACTGTCCTTAGAATCAAGTTATCTTAGTATTGGTAAAGACACGGCAACAAATTTGAGTTCATATAATTTAGCTCAAAGGCAGTTAACACATTCTCTGTTGAGCAGAGAAGAAGCAGCTCCGAATCTGACTGTTCTGGATTGTCTTCATTCAATTTGTTTTCTTTTGAACAATGACCAATATATGTCCTTCCATCTCAATCTAGAACCCTGGAATGACCCTGCCTCATTATTCTTATGGGGATGGTAATCGTAGTGTTCCACAGTCAGGACCAAGTGTGCAACCACAAGAGGATGCCTGGGCTTCTCCTGGTGCTTATGCAATGGGAACCCGCTACCCCTGGCCCTCAGCTACGCCCTCAGCCCCACCTGGGAATCTCTACATGACTGAAAGTACTTCATCGTGGCCTAACAATGGCTCTCCTCAACCGACTCCTTCACCAACACCTCAGCAGTCCAAGGTAGGGGACTTTCTGCACATCGTTCCTCTGACGCGTGGTGGAATGTTTCTGCTTTAGCCTGTGTCAAATGGGAGCTAAGTGCAGAAGTTCGGTGACTACTACTTACAGATTTACCTCAGCCTCATTTTTTTTTTGTTTTTTAATTAAGAAGTGCTTGTTTTCTGTTGATTGTAATACAATCTGAATGTTACAATCAAAGATAGTATTTCACCACTTCCAAAGAGAAAAGCAATGTGAAGTATCTATAGAATTAATTTGTATGATTAATTTTACATTAGACCATATATTTGGACATCATCAGCTTGTGGCTGGGTTCTTTTTTAGGATCTTCCCTGAGGCCTTAACTTTCTAGGGGGAAATCTAACATCTATTTATGAAGTCACTAGATAGATTGTGAGGTGTTTATGATGATGATCTGCCTCAGACAGATTCCAGTCGTTATACTTCCGAATTCCTTGCCTTTTGATAGGCATAAGTTTGTATCTTTTTAGGGTTGTGTATTTTATCAAAGGATTCAGGAGGGAAGTGTCCAGTTATTGGTTGGTAGTGTTTTCATATGCCCTCCTAATTATATGAAAGATGTTGGTAGATCCTCATTAAAACAGTTTTCCTTCTCTTTTGTTTTCCCTTGCTAAGGAGTCTTCATACTCCTATAATCAATCAGATCGAGGCGTGAACCGGCACAACTGTCCTTGCAGTGTCCATCAGTATGAATCTTCGGGGACAATGAACAATGACAATTCAGATCTTTTGGATCCCCAAGTCCAATATAGTGCTGAGCCTCAACTGTATGATAATACCACTAATGAACCTCCCAGGAATCAAGATCAAAGTATTAGTCATCCTGAAGAGAGTTTGTCTTCAGATGAAGGTACTCCTCCAAGTATTAAAAAAATCATAAATGTGCTGGAGAAGGTCCAGTATCTTGAGCAAGAAGTAGAAGACTTTGTAGGAAAAAAGACAGACAAAGGATATTGGCTTCTAGAAGAAATGCTAACCAAGGAACTTTTGGAGCTGGATTCCATTGAAACTGGGGGCCAGGAATCTGTCCGGCAGGCCAGGAAAGAGGCTGTTTGTAAGATCCAGGCCATCTTGGAAAAATTGGAAAAAAAGGGATTATGAAAGGGTTTAGAACCAAAGCCTGTTACTAACTTGACCAAAGAACTCTGGATTTTGGTTAGTAACCCTCTTTCTTTTGAGACGGCTGTGGATGACTGGAAGCAATACATCCACCTTAACTTTGCTTCTCACACTGCAGAGCCTGGCAAAGGACTTGGAAAAACATTGTAATAATGAATTGTCTTCAGACCCATGAATGTAGTAGGAAACTACGGAGTTATTGCCAAGTAAGGTTACTCCTTGCCTCAGAAATGTATGGATATTTGCAAGCTGCTATCAAGCAGGAGGGGACCACTTCATGTAACAGGCTTATCAGGAACATGCCAGATGAGACTGGTATGACCTGAGACAAACAGGTTCTGTTTTTGTTTTGTTTTTTAAACAGCTGGATTACTTGTCAATTTTTTGTACATTGTGACTGCTTCCTGCGTACACTTCATGTGTAAATTACAGCTTGGACTTTAGCCTTCATGGATCTCTGTTTGGTGTGTTATTTGCAGTTCATAAATAGACTATCATTCTCTACTTCTTGGTATATTTTGTAGTAATATGTTTAATATTATTTCAAGAGATCATATTGACAGCCAGGAAGTATGGCAATTCTGAATGGATTTGTATCTTTTCACCACTTGAGTATATTGCAACATGTAGTGAGTTCCTGAGGTGAGCTGTTTGTCTCCCTTTTTGTATACACTTCTATTTTCATGGTACTAGTGGAAGATAAATGTGCATTGATGTAGGAATGAAAATATTTGTGAACCTTTCTCTTTTGCTTTTTACCATATTTTAGATAAAGATACACTTTAAAATGGCTTTTTAACCAAATTTTCTTTTTACTGCTGCTGCTTCTATAGAGAAAGCAATGTGGCAGATGATAAACTGTAGCCACAGTTAGTAGAAATAACAACTCAGCAAAATAAAAATGATCCCTTCGGTAAGACCGTTTTCCATCTACAATCAGTTTCACTTTCGAGATCCCTGTGAGCAGAATTCAACTCAGTTTAGAGTAGAAAACAATGAGGGCGAAAGGGGATTCATGCTCAGGTATTGAATCAGCCATAGCTAGAGTGGAAAAATATTTCCTTGTTTTAAGGGTATATTTGATGATTAACTCTATTTCCCTATTGTAAATTGCACAGAGAGAATTGCCTGTTTTATAAAAAGATGTTTATTGCCATTATAACAGTCTTCTTAGAACCAAATTTATGGGAGGAGTGTTAAGAGTCGTAGTTGGGCTTGCTAAGTAGTGCTAATGCTGTTCTATAAAAAAGATTATGTAAATAACTTACTTTTTACATCTGAGGTGAGTTTTAGTATACAGTATCTGTTATTGGAAAAAGAGCTGTTTCTTAATAAGATTTTCAAGTGATAATTTTTTTAAGACTGCCAAGCCTATACATAAAAAATATATCAGCTATCTCCTCCCTCTATAAACAAAGCCAAACTGATACAAGCACATTGTATGTTGAGAAGAAATTTAGTAAAAATACTGGTTAGGTTTTGTAGTTGGATGAGTGATTTTAAAATATGTAGTGATAATCTTATTCTAGGGTTTTTATCTTTGACTTAATGAAGGAATGTTAAAGAGTTTTTTTCTATGAAAATTAAGTTATAATTGAAGCTGAACATTAAAAGACAGCATAGGACCTTACAGCTTAGTTACCACAAACCAGTGAGATGATGACTAATACAGAATAGAACACTGGTATTTAACTTACCAAGTGCCCAGAATGCCATTTTCCATGACGTCTTGATTTGTTTGTGTATATACACATACACATAAGGCAAAGATAGACATATATTTGTGTGTATGTGTATGTCTAAATGATTATTTTATAATTTTGGACATAGTTTTAGACTACAGAAGAGTTATAAAAATAGTACAGCATTCCTCTGTAACTTTTACCCAGGTTCCCCTTATGCTGACATCTTACATACCATTGAAAATTTGTCAAAATTATGGAATTAATCTTGCTTTAATATTAGCTACAGTAGAAAATTTTAGAGATTTTATTGTTCTTCCCACGAATGTCCTCTTACTGTTCCAGCATCACACACTGCATTGAATTGTCATGTCTCTGTAGTTGACACTACAGAGTCTATCCTAGTAGGAGGTGTCCATGGTGTTGTAATGTATTTTTGATGTTGTTAACCTTGGCTAAGGTGGTGTCTGCTAGGATTCTCTATGATAAATTCTTATGTTTCCCATTGTAACTACTACATATTCGGTAGTGAGATATTTTAGGCCTATGCAAATGCTTTATTTCTGCTTAAAGTTTTTTGCACTCACTTTAGTATCCATTGGTAAATATTGCTTGTGATAATTACTGTGGTGTTCTAATGGTGATTTCTACTCAATTATTTCTACATTTGTTCACTGTAATTTTGTAAGGGAAAGTTGTCACTTCTGGATTAATGTTTTTCATTCTAATGGTAATCAGGATGCTAAATTCTAAAGTCTTAGAATTTAAAGATGTTAAACCATGTTAAAGTGATTCAAAATATTTCCAAAAAATGAAAAACGATGTTAGTGGCCTCTCTCGGAAAATATAATGAATGTAAGAAGGGCACTTGTATACGTGATTTGTAGAATTGGATCAACTTTTGACTTAATAACGCCAAGCTGAACTCAAATTTTTCTTGAAGTTTAACAAGATTAAGTGTCTACATTTATATTACTTTGAGCATCATTTTTGTCAAAATCTTGAATAAACATACCTAGACTTAGCATGTTAAACACAACTGTGTTTTCTTTGTAATTAGCCACTACTGTTCAAAACATACATGCCAATGCTAATATTTAAAGACCCCTAATGAAGTATCTAGTGGATGGTTTATGCTTGCCTCTACATTGTTGAGGTTTCATAAATGATGCATCAGTTCTCTAATGTAAATAATGCCACTTGAAGTTGGCAGACTCAGAAAAGTTGATGAATGTAGGTTAAGTTAGCATTTCTATAAAAAGTTTCTTTGGGGGTGTGGATAGCTGATAATTGGAATTTTTCTTTTTCACTTTTCCTTTTGTAACAGTATTACTTTAAAAAAAATGTTTAAAGATTCAAATCATTCTTTGAGATTTATGTGTTTGGGTCAATTCTATAAAAAGCATGATCGAATCCGAGAATCACCTAGATCCATAGCGAGGAGTCGCTGAAGCCCAGCCGCGATGTTTCGGATCGAGGGCTTGGACCCCGAGGAAATGAAACAGAAAGTGGTGAGGACGTGATCTCCTCCATACGGAGCTTTCTTATTTACGTCGCCCTGCTGCGAGTCGCTCCAATTGTCTTAAAGCAATGGGTTGGGATAGCACATGAAGATGTGGCATCGCCTGAGAACGCATGATGTGAAGAATCTGATTCCGGTCTCTTCCCATCTGCAAATGAATAAACCCAGAAAGATAGACCAGACTCTTTGATTGATTGGACTTAAAAATTCTGCTTGAGAAGAACAAGTTTGTTTTTTTTCCTGGTGACTTACTGACTATATAAAATTAATTGGGAAATGTGAAAAGATTTCTCGTGGTGATATTGCACCCTTTTGCCTCTGACTCTTGGCCTCTGTGAATGTTGATGTAATTATAAATCATGTCAAACTTCATTTTCCAGCAAATCTTCACCACAAGTGTCTGCAGTAGGTCTGTCTTGACCGCCATCTCTGTGGACCTTTTTCTTTTTGTCCAGAATGTAGTTGTGAAGAGTCCATGACAGTTAAGTTACATTTTGTGGAAGTCAGCACAGAACCACAATATTTGAGCACAGAGCCATTAGTCTGTACGTTTGGATTTTAAAAAAAATAAATGTATCAGTGTGGGGAAAAAAAAGCGTTATCTTCTCATACCTCCATTTTTCTTATTAAGAGGCAACCACTTTCAACTGAGCTTTTTTTCTAACCTGTATATTTTTAAATAATACACTTGTATTGTTACTTTATTTTTCCTGAATTTTAGGCATTTTTACTGATTTACAGGGTTTCAGAATGTGAGAATTTAGGCTTATCTCTCTCTACCTACATACAGCCTCTCTCCCACCCACCACCAGCTTCAAAAAGTTAAAGATAAATGGAATTTTTAAATAATGAAAATTTCCACAGATTTTTGAAGTCCTTCGTATATGATATCATTCCCATCATAACATTACTTTAGCTGCATGCTAATTTTGTTGTACATTATTATGGATATGTAAGTGTTGATGCGAGCTCAGCCACATAGAAAACTGACTGTTTCCTGAGCAACTCCTTGTTTTCCCTAGAGATAATCTGCCTCTTATGCTTGAGAAAATTGTGCATAGAATAAGGAAGACTGGTGAGGAGCTCGTGCATCTGAATTGTGGTGGTGCAAAGAATATTGAAGGTACCCGGACTGCAGAAGAAAGAACAAACCTGTTTTGGAAGAAGTAAAACTGGAATGCTTCCTAGAATCAAGAATGGCAAGCCTTCATTCATCTCATGCACTTTGGACATGTTAGTACAAGAGCCCAGTGTCTGGGAAAGGAGTTAATGTTTGGCCAAGTCAGTGGTTCTCAACGTTCCTCATGTCTTGACCCTTTCATACAGTTCCTCATGTTGTGGGGATCCCCAACCATAACATTATTTTCGTTGCCACTTCATAAATGTAATTTTGCTACTGCTATGAATCGGACAACCCCTGTGAAAGGGTCCTTCAACCTCCACAGGAGTTGCAACCCACAGATTGAGAACTGCTGGGTTAAGTGAAAGGGCAGAGAAGACGAAGGTCCTTGGTTTGAGATGGATTGACACAGTGGCTGCCACAATAGGCTCAACCGTAACAATTGTGAGGATGGCTGAGGACCAGGCAGTGTTGAAGGAAATACTGTTATATGTAGGGCTGCTATGAATTGGAACCGAAATCAGGGCACCGAACAACAATAATTAGCCTGATTTGCTTGCTTACGTACTTAACACTAATTTGATTTCAAGACCTTATTTAGTTGTTTAAATCTTCATCTCAAGGTATCACTTCCAAGGTCTTGTAGAGGCGTGTTCTGCAGCTTTCTAGCTGGATGACGAATGTGTACCTGGTGCATAAATGTCATCCTGGGAGCTTTCTTCCCTCATCTGGGTTCTCTCGCATTGCGTTCCTGTTGGCTTTGTTTCCTCTATCCTATTGCTTTCTTTTTCTTGTTTTATTTTCTTATTTTGGTAGATCGCGATCTCTAGCATAATTTGTTGGAAAATGGTGCATGGAAAATGCTTTTTTGAGACCATGCTGTTCAGAAATGTCAGCTGTTAGTCACTAGAGTGAAAGTTTGCCTAGGCATAGAATTCAAAGTTGGGAATTATAGGTGTTTTCAAGGCATTTGTCAGCGGGAGCTTTAAGAATTGCTGGCGAGAAGCCTAATCTCCTCTGTTTCATGATGCTCTGTGCAAAACCCATTTCGCGCTCTGGAAAGTTTGTAGTAGAGTGCTGTTGTCCCTTTGTTCTGGGATTTTACAGCAGTGCAGCTTTGCGTGCAGCTTACATCCATTTTCCTATGGGCCTTTCTTTCTTGAAACTCATATTCTTAAATCTTGGTAATTTTTCTTGATCATTTTGTTTAATTAAATACCCTCCTCTCCTATCACAGTATTCTGTTACATATTTCTAGAACTATTGTTTTGATTGTAGACCTCCTAGATGGATTCTTTGATTTCATTTTTATAATTTCCATTCTTTTTGCCCTACTTTGTGGGAAATTGATATCAATTTTTCATTGAGCTTATTTATTCTATCATGTTTAATAATTTCTAGGACTTTTATTGTTCTCTGTATTCCTTTGTGCTCTTTTTAACCCTATAACGCCTGAATTTTTAATTTCAGGAAAATAATTTTTTGTTTTTCTTTACTTTCATAGTTATCGATATATGTATTAATATATACATTTAATTAAATGTTATGAAAACGTCACACTTAGAGTTATAGGGTTAAAGGTGGCAGTATCTAAAATTTCTGAGGATTTGGATATAATTTTAGACATTTTCTTATTAAATCATGGTTTTCCTCCAAAGTTGCTTTTTCCTTTCTGTTTCTCACTCGTGATAGAAGTTTATCCCAGATATGCTACTCCTTAGTTATTTGTTCATATTTAATATTGAAAAGTTGTAAAAGCTGATTGAAGGCTCTGAGTATAAATTCTTCAGTAATGGTGAGCTCCTAGGGGATGCATTTATAAGCATGCAGGCTTGAACAGGTGAGGGAGAGAGGGTGGGAATATAGAAAGGTTTGAGGGAAGATATTTCTTATCCCCCCTCCCCGCTGCCCCCTTGCTCACGAATCCCTAATAATTTATAAATTATTATTTTGACATATCTTGCCCTGTCCGATGTCTCCCCTCACCCACCCCTCTGTTGTCTGTCCCCCAGGGAGGAGGTCACATGTAGATCCTTGCAATCGGTTTCCCCTTTCCAACCCACCCTCCCTCTATGCTCCCAGTATCGCCACTCACACCACTGGTCCTGAAGGGA